TCGATGTTTGTTTGCTTGGTTGCTTATTTATTTATTTATTTATTTATTTATTTTTTGCTTTTATTTTTTTTATTTTTATTTGTTAGTCTATTTCTATCTGTTTCTCTTTGTCTCCACTTCTATCTATCTCTCCTTCTTTATCTGTCTCTTTTTCTGTCTCCTTTTTATCTCTTTTTCTGTCTCCTTTTTGTCTCTTTTTCTGTCTCCTTTTACCCTTTATCTGTCTCCTTTTTGTTTCTTTATCTGTCTCCTTTATCTCCTTTTTGTTTCTTTATCTGTCTCTTTATTTGTCTCCTTCTATTTTTGTCTCCTTTTGTCTCCTCTTTTGTTTCTTTTTTTATTTCTTTGTTTGTTTTTTGTCTCTTTATTTGTTCTTTATTTGTTTCTTTTTTGTCTCTTTATTTGTCTCCTTTTTTGTCTCCTTATCTGTCTCCTTTTTTATCTCTTTATTTGTTTCTTTTTTGTCTCTTTATCTGTCTCCTTTTGTCTCCTTTTGTTTTCTGCTGTCTCCTTTTTCTATTTTTGTCTCCTTTTATCTCCTTTTATCTCCTTTTGTCTCCTTCTGTCTCCTTTTGTTTTTGTTTTTTTTCTGTTTGTTTCTTTCTGTCTCCTTTTGTCTCCTTTTATCTCCTTTTGTCTTTCTTTATATCCTTTTGTCTCCTTTTGTCTCTCTTTGTCTCTTTTTGTCTCTTTTTGTCGCTTTTTATGTCTCCTTTTTCTCCTTTTACCTTTATTTATCTCCCCTCTAACCCTCTACTGTCTCTTCTTATATACTAATTTATTTTATTTTATTTTATTTTATTTTATTTTATTTTATTTTATTTTATTATAGACCTTTGAGAGCCAATTGCTGCAAGTACAGGAGAAACTGTCTCCTGTCTCTTTTTTGTCTCTTTTTGTCTCCTTTTTGTCTCTTTTTGTCTCTTTTTTTTCTTTTTTTTTCTGCTTTCTCCTCACTATCTCCTTCTATTCCAGCCATCTGTCTGTTCTATCATTAATATATTTATTTTTATGTATTTCTGTTTATTTATAATACAGATGTTTGAGAGCCAATTGCTGCAAGTACAAGAAAAACTATCTCCTTTTGTCTCTTTTTGTCTCTTTTTTGTCTCTTTTTTTTTCTTTTTTTTTCTTTTTTTTTCTGCTTTCTCCTCACTATCTCTTTCTACTACAACAATCTATCTCCTTTTCCATTCCTTTATTCTATTTTGTGTATTTCTGTTTATTTATAATACAGATGTTTGAGAGCCAACTGCTGCAAGTACAAGAAAAACTATCTCCTTTTGTCTCTTTTTTTGTCTCTTTTGTCTCTTTTTTTTCTGTTTTTTTCTGCTTTCTCCTGACTATCTCTTTCTCGTACACCTCCTTATCTCTTCTATCATAAATATATATCTTTTTGTGTATTTCTGTTTATTTATAATACAGATGTTTGAGAGCCAACTGCTACAAGTACAAGAAAAACTATCTACAGTATTTGTAGATAAATTTGAGCAGTTACAGTGCGGTGTTGACGCCCTCAACGAAAGAATATCAATCGTAGAAAATGAATTTAAAATAGAAAAAGAAAAACAAAACAGAATAACTGAGGATAAACACCAAGCCATTGCCGCAGACATCAACGCACTGCAGGTGGGTACTAGTTTATATAAATATACACAAAAAGACACACAGAAAGATATATCTATATCTATATATTATTTTATTTATATGATAGAATGTGTTTATATAGTATATTATATTCTGTTATAGTAGAAAATGAATTTAAGATAGAAAAAGAAAAACAAAATAGAATAACAGAAGACAAGCACCAGGCTATTGCTGCAGACATCAACGCACTGCAGGTGGGTTTTTTTTTCTCTCTCTCTCTCTATATATATATATATTATTTATATAGTTTTTTATTTATATAGTATATTATATTTTGTTTATATAGTAGAAAATGAATTTAAAATAGAAAAAGAAAAACAAAACAGAATAACTGAAGACAAACACCAAGCTATTGCTGCCGATATAAATGCATTGCAGGTATGTACTTGTTTATATAAATATACACAAAAAGACACACAGAAAGATATATATATATATATATATATATATATATATTATTTTATTTTATTTATATAATAGGTTTATATATTATATTATATTTTGTTTATATAGTAGAAAATGAATTTAAAATAGAAAAAGAAAAACAAAATAGAATCAGAGAGGATATATAAATATATATAAATATATATTTATATATATAAATATATATAAATATATATAAATATATATAAATATATATA